ACATGTAAATCCAGGAAGCTCAGAGAGTCCCAAACAAGTTGGACCTGAAGAGGAACACACCAAGACACATCATAATTAAATTGCCAAAGATTAAAGATAAGGAGGGAATCCCGAAAGCAGTAAGAAAAAAGGAGACAGTTATTTACAAAGGAGTTCCTATAAGGCTATTAGCCGATTTCTCAAAAGAAATCTTATAGGCAAGAAGGGCCTGGAAAGAAGTATTCAAAGTGATGAAAGGCAAGGACCTACATCCAAGATTGCTCTATTCAGCAAAGCTATCATTTAGAATGGAAGGGCAGATAAAGTATTCCCAGATAAGGTCAGGTTAAAGGAGTTCATAATCACCAAGTCCTTATTAGATGAAATATTAAAGAGATTTGTCTAATAAAAAAAAGATCAAAACTATGAATAGTAAAATGACAACAAACTCACAACTATCAACAACTGAACCTAAAAACAAAAAACAAAAACAAAAACAAACTAAGCAAACAACTTGAACAGAAACAGAATCACAGACATAGAGATCACATGGAGGGTTATCAGCAGGGAGGGCGAGGGGTGGGGAGAATGGAGGGAAAGATACAGGGAATAAGAAGCATAAATGGTAGGTACAAAATAGACAAGGAGATGTTAAGAATATAGGAAATGGGGAATCCAAAGAACTTATATGTACAACCCATGGATGTGAACTAATGTGGGGTTGCTGGAAGGAAGAGGGGTACAGAGTGGAGAGGGATAAAAGTAAGAAAAAATGGGACACTTGTAATAGCATAATCAATAAAATATACTTAAAAATGCATTGTTTGATAAAGACCACTAGTGTAACCTCAGACCACTCTGTTAAATTCTGACACACTGTAATCTTCCCACGAATACCATGCATTCTGCCGCTCAGTAAATATTTTAGAATATTTATTACACAGGGGCCCTATAGGAAATCCAAAGTTCTATACTACAGGTTCACTACCCATAAGGAAAATGCTGTCTGTCACTTTCCAGACAGCAGGAAGGGAAAAGAGGAAGTGCCTGGCGAGCAGCTTCTCTTTTAAAGGACATAATCCAGTTTTACTCACAAGAAACACAGGTTAGTGGAGAAGGGGAATCAGTTTCCAAGCAGAATGAAAAAAGCGCCACTTATTCCTGTGGGACTTTAAAGTTCAGGGAAGCGGCAGAAACATGAGAAAAATTACACTTTCCCAAGAGCTTAGATACAATAGGAAAGATATTAGCTGGAGAAGACTATAGAGTAGAGAATAATTTTAGGGCTTATTCAACAAATTTTTCCTGTGCACATGCTCCGTACTATTCACTCTTTCAGGTCCAGGAGATTTATGAGAGATCAAAGCAGACAAAGTTCCTGAGCACTAGTTAGGGAATAGGCTAAAACACAATAGCAAATGGGTCCAAACGAATACTAATTTTTAAAAGAATACAATTTATTATGTCCCTTGTAATTGTCCACCAGGCTGTGGTTGATCTACAGATATCTCAGCTCCCTAAATTAGGCCCGTACTTAGACTAATGGGGTAGTTTTTCCTTCCTTAATATAATACACGACTTCCATCTCTAGTCTGTGTTACTTTTTGCCATTTTCCAGACAGCAGAAAAGGAGAAAAGGAAGTGGATGGCAAGCAGCTTCTCTTTTAAGGGACATAACCCAGTTGTATTCACATGTCACTGGATACAGTGTCACTTTGTAATATTGTAACAGAGTGCAGCCAAGAGGGGGGCCCCAAACAGGGATTTGTAATGGGGTCCAGAACTTAAGGTGTCCAGGAAATATCGAGATGTCCTTACCCCCACCCCCCAACCACAGGTGTGAGTTGGGGGGAGGGACAAATGGAGCAGGGCCATGGAGAGCTGTTTTATACAGCAACAGCTTTGCAGCTAACCTCTGGCATGGTCATTTAACATATCTATAACATTTAACTGGTTGCATAGATATGTTAAATAGCTGTGGCCATGCTCTGAGCCAGGGGGATGGAAGTGACTTCCACCCAAGATATAACTGGGGGCAGGTCCCCCAGGTGACAGCGCCTATGTGAGAGGTTAGAGATGATTGGCTCCATGCCACGGGGCCCTGCCTGCCAGTCTCATTATGGCAGTCCAGTAAAGTTGGAAGGATATGGGAGTGCTGGCAAGTGTAACTGATTGTAGGACGAGTCAGAAATGGGGCTGCAGAGGAAGATTGGCATGGGGATTTCAACCGAGACACAGCAGTCATTCAGGAGAGAGCCATGTGCTCCTGGCAGAGTGGGGACTCCTGACAGCCATTGAGATAGAGAGTTCTACTTGGCTTTGCCAGAGTGGGGACGCCCTCAGCTTTGGTAGAAGAGGACCACGTGGCTTTGGGATGTACCCTTTGACTGCGTGGCCTGGGAAGCAGGAGAGACTTTGTCTGGAAGAAGGCTAAAAGAAACTCTTGCCAGTAGACCATGAGAAGGTGCCCCATGGCTTTGGATTAATTAGACATCCCGCCTGGATGGTGACATAGCTGACGGTGCCAGCGGCCTGAAACACAGATGTTTGCTTCTTTTCCAGAGTTACGGTACCCTGAATTAGGGCAGGGGAAGAAGGAAGCACTTTGGGTATTTGTGGGTATCCAAAAGGACTTTGATATTTTAATGGGGACATTGGGTCACTACTTTAAGTCTGTGTAGCTTTAAACATTTCCTTTCCTTTCCACAAACCTCTGGCATTGAGAGATATCTTTCCTTTGGCAGCGGACATAATGAACCTGGTGGAGGGTCCTTTTGGTAATAGTATATAGTGTCCCCCTCTTGTCCCTATGTGTGGGTATGTTCTGTAACAGTTTTTGGCGTTCCTGGGTGGGCCAATAATTGCCTCCCCACCGGCCTGTGTTCTGTAACAATCTAGCCAAACAAGTTGAAAGGATAGCCAAGGAATTGTCATCTCTAACTGGGTTACCAGGCACCTTGCTAACACTTGGGGGTGGAGGGATAACAGTGAAAATTGGTGACATGGTACCTACCTTTTAGAAAGGGAAGACGACAATAGGCAAGCAAAGAAGGTTTTGGTGGATTGGTGGGCATAACATCCTGAGTGGAGGGAATTCAAGGAAGACAGGAGAATGTGGGTTTAGGGAGAGCAAGCACCATCCTCTCCTTTGAGAAGAAAAGTGGGAATGACTCAAACACATGTTGAAGGTACAGAAGGAGTAGAAATGGAAAGGCTGAAGACATATGGAAGAGGAGAAAATTGATGGTGCAGCGATCCCCTACCTTTTTGGCACCAGGGATCGGTTTTGTGGAAGATAATTTTTCCATAGATTGGGAGGTGGGTGAATGGCTTTGGGATGATTCAAGCGCCTTACATTCAAGCTCACCTCCTGCTATGTGTTGTGGCCCAGTTCCTAACAGGCCCAGACCAGGACCTCTTACACTGTAAGGTACCAGAAGAGGAGAAACTTATAGGGCTCTCTTCATCTATGTCAGTTAGAAGAAGGTAAGAATTGGTGTGAATGAAGATGTGGGGGATGCAAAAAGAAAATAGCAGGGGCTGTGGAAATTCCAAGCTAATAGTTTCAGTTTTCTTTCTGAAGTAGGAAGTAAAGTCACCTTCTGAGCATGAGGGGGCCTGTATGGGAGGAGCGGTTAGGAAGGAGACTTGTGTTAATCTGAGGTTGCACATGGGGATTTGGGGCCAGAGCCAAAACCATTGAGAAGGTTGGCAAGATAGTATTTGAAGTGATAAATCCTGTGGTGTCTCCCCTCAGTCATGTAGCACCTTTTTCAGCTTCCACTTCTCCAATGGCGGGGTTCATCCACAGGCAATACTCTCCCCAAACTCATCCTCTTACCAAAACAATCTGCTTTAAAGGTCATCAGGACTAAGACCATTTATTTCAGTCATCAAAAGCTCAACACCATCCACTCTCAAGCATGAACAGGACCAGCAAAGATCGCCAGGCATCTGAAGAAAGCCTCTGTGTCAGATATAACACCTGTGCTGCATTCAACTGTGGCATTCACTCAATTACGGGACCGAAATTCTAGACTCCTCATTTCCCGTCACTCACGTAGTCAATCACGCCACCTAATAAATACTCCCCAGGCCGCACAATTCTCTCCATACCCGCACTCCACACTGCTGGTAGTTTTGGTTCCCATCATCTCTCATTCAGATACTTAACCTATGCCTTTCCCTTTTCTCTCCAAAACTGATTTTGCCTGATTAAAACACCACCTGCCTGATTAAAATCTCTCAATGACTCCACCAATGCCTTTAGGAAAAATTCTATCTAAATTCACTGACCTGATTTCCAAATACCGGATACAGCATCTTAATTAATCTCTCCCCACTTCCTCTGCTCACTCATACTACTCCACTGCTTCCCCACTGCTATGCCTTCCCTCCTGACCCTGCACTGACTCTTCCTCCTTCCAAGACGGCTCTTCCCTTCCAACCCTCTCTGTTCTACTCCCTTTCCCGGCTAACCCCATACTCATCCTCCATGTCTCAACCTACTGGGCCTCAAGGAAGCATTCCTGACTCCCCCAAACTAAGGGGGCACCGCCCCCCCCCCCCCCGCGCCCTGGAGCACTGTATTAAGCCCAAAGAGGCATTACTTTAATTGCCTGCTTCCTGCCGGGACCTTGTCTTTTTGGTTCACTCCAGTGTCCCCAGCTTTGGTGCCAGACACACTATAGACACGCCAGACGAGTTCGTGGAATGAGAAAAATGAGTGAATAAATCGTGAACCAAATACCCTGACTTTCCTACCACATCAAGGGCCACCCATTTGTAATTGAACTTTAAACCGATCAAATGAACTAAAGCGTTTGAAGTTCTTGAAACTGTAACGCAGCTCTAAAAAGTCGCCCAGGTCCTTTTCCTGGGATCTGGCCGCCGAGTTAAAGACACCAGCTTGTGGGAGCAGACCTAGGCACTCAGGAGGGCGGGGCCTCCCAAGTAGTGACCACGCCCTGGGGCGGGGCTACTCTCTGGATGCGAAGGGGCGGGCCCTGCGGGCGGGGAAACTCCCCCCTTCCGAGTCCCAGGAGCCGCAGCTCGTCGCGGAGGCGCCGCTGTGGGGTCTCCTGGACCGAGGTTGGGTGGGCCCAAGTTACTGGCTGCACCGCCATCTTGCTTGAGTCTAGACTCCTGGGGAGAAAGGGGCGGCCACTGGGCCGGAAGCTGCTGTGCGGCGGCCGCGCTACCTCCCCAGGTCGGTGAGTGCGGCCCGGTCGGAGTCTCCCCTCTCCTGAAAGGAAGGTCAGAGTTTAGGGCTAAGAGTGCAGTTGAGAGGACAGGCGGGGGCGGACCCGGGGGCCTTTTCGAAACCGGGGCGCAGGCCGTCGCGCTCCGCGCTGCGGTAACCGCACGGAGCTTCGGAGGGATCCTCGGAGCTGCGGGCGGCCCGAGGGCGCGTGGAGACTTCCTCCCAGGCGCAGGGGCTGCGCTGTACTCTTGGCGCCGGGGGTTTGCGCGGACCTGCGTCCTTGGGCCAGAGACTCAGTCTGGTGTCTGGAGCGTGGGAGTCGCCCTCAGATTCCTGGTTTACCCGGAATAGCAACAAGCGCGGGTTGTACTCTGTTACATACTTCTTAAAGGGCCTGTCACGGGTTAGCCCTGCTCTCTGCAGGTGGGAGTAATGAAAATTCCACAAGAGGATAAAACCTCTCAAGTATGTCCGGAGCATTACTCAGTTGCCTAGCAAATGACGACCTGTGCAGGCCTTTTGTATAACTTTAAGTATAGCTATCTCCTTGAAGATGGTGATGGTGGGAATTTTTTGAAACTGCAACTGCTGTTATTGGTCCTGGTAAGAAAAGTAGAAGACAGCGATAAAAAAAAATGTGAAAGGATGATTGGTCCCCATGTATGCTTAGTATTATAGATCTCCACAGCCGAGTGGCCACGTGGGGTTGAAATGTGCTGTCAGGGTAAAATCCACAGTGGGTTTGCAAGACCTGCTACCAAAACAAAGTTAAAAAGAGCTCGATAATTTTTATATTGATTACATATTGAAAAGGATAATTCTTTGACGTGTCAGGCTAAATAAAAGTGTTACATTTAATTTCATCCATTTTTATTTTTCATTGTGGCTACTAGAAAATTCATGTGGCTCACCCTGTATTTCTTTTGGATAATGCTATTACGGATCTCCTGGTGAGGAACACAGAATCATCATGGCTTTCCTTTCTTCTGACACCATTGACGGGAAGTGAGCACTTGTTAAACTTGAAGGTGAGGATCTAAGTAGAAGCTGTAATGATTGCAGATGCTACCCCTTATACTCCCAATTTTTCTTTTTTTTATATATATATTTTTAAATTTATTTTTTAATTGGTTATGCTGTTACAGTCATTGTCTACAATGTTTAAAACATTAAATGCCAAGGATGTTTAAGGGAATCATAGTGAAGAACTCAATTTGATTGCCACCCTTGGCCAGATAGATGTAGGCTAGGTTCTGTCTCCATTTCGTAGTTTGGAGTATTTAGGGACTTGGTTGGGTTCAGCCAGTAAGTTACTGAGGTCTTCTGACTCCAGGTTCGGTTTTCTTTGTTCTCCATCGTACTCCTATTGAGCTATGTTCATAAGCCAGATGCCATGTATATTGTGTGTTGGATTATAAAGAAATAAATTTTTTAAGAGGGTGCTTGTAGATGTACATCTCTGTTCAGGGCTAGCTAAAGATTTTATTTATTTTCAGACAGAAGGGAAAGGAGAGAGAAAGGGAGAGAAGCATCTGTGTTTGGTTGCCTCTCATGTGCCCCCAACTGGAGACCTGGCCCACAGTCCAGGCATATACCCTGACTGGGAATCAAACCAGCGATACTTGGTTTGCAGACCTGCACTCAGTCCACTGATCTGCACCAGCCAGGAATTTTTGAACAAGGGGAACTGTATTTTCAGTTTGGGTTGGGCCCTGCAAATGATGGAGCTGTTTTTTCCTGTGTGCAGTAATCTAGAACAGGAGTGGGGAGGTGTTGGACAAAAACCAGAATATCTGGTCTTCACAGCCCTCTGCAGTGAGTCGGGTTGGCTAGTCTCTAACTCTCAAGTTCTTTGATTCTAAATGAGTTACTGTGATCAGATTTTGTGGATGATAATATAACTATTTTACATGCATAACATCAAAGAAATGCTGATGATTCTCCATTAAATGTCATGTAAATCAAATAGTTTTTAAAATTATAGTAACACTTTCTATTTTTTAAGATGGATTTTTCCACATGGGACTAAGTTTTCTTACCATGAATCATTCATGTAAAGAGTGTCATGGGATAGAAACCTGGATAAAAAGTGTGCTTGGTTAAGCATTTGTCTTTCAGTGAGATGGAAGGTGTGCCAGATCTCAGGATACCTCCAATTTAGAGGTTTCCTCTGTTTGTAAGGGCAAGAGTACGAACCATTACTTAAGAGTATCTGTTCCTTCTTTTTGTTGTCTTAGTTATTACATGAGGTGCCTCTCTTCCTTTTCATTCTTAAATTTTTAAATTCTCTTTAAGATTAGACATAACCTCAGTACTAGAATGCAGTCTTGTTTGGGCTGCCATACCAAAATACCATTCACTGAGTGGCTTAAAGAACAGAAGGAACTTTTTTTCATAGTTCAGGAGACTGGAAATCTAAGATCAGGGTACCAGGATGGTTCAGTTCTGGTAAGAGCTCTCTTCCTAGCTTGCAGATAGCTCTCTTCTTGCTATGTCTTCACATGGTAGGGAGAGAGTTTAGGTATCTCTTCCTCTTCTAAGGACTCCAGTTAGATCAGGACTTCACCCTTATGACCTCATTTAACCTTAACTGCCTCTATGAAGGCTCTTTCTCCAGTACAGTCACGTGAGGGATTAGATCTTCAGCATATGAGTATTGGGGGGACGAATTCAGTCCATGGCAACCAGGGACCTTATCTGTCCCGGTTTACTGTTGTGTTCACAGCATTTAGAACAGTGTCTAGACCATAGATGATGCCCAATAAACATTCACAGAATAAATGAAAGAGTGTATTAGGGTGATCCTCTCTTAGGGTGGCTTACTGTGGGCTCTTGCCCTTCATTGGAACCAGTTATGAATGTGGTCACTTTGCTCTTGGCTGGAGCTAACCTCCATTAGGAAGAATAATGGGTGGAAGCATGAGGAGATTTGTAAAGCTTAGAGATAGCAGTGATGAGTATCACAGGGAGGATTTAACAAGTGCAGTCAGTTAATTAATAATTATTAACAGCCCAGTACTCTGCTGGGTACTAGAGGTACAAATGGAGAGCAAAAGTTTACCTTCTCTTATGAAGCTTATAATCTAGTGGAAGAGACAGGCTGACTGGGAAGGGATAGAGGATAGCTGGTGTCAGGCTTAAGCAGGTGTTAATATCGTCAAGAAGAAAGTGAAGAATGCTCCAACCAAAGGGAATAGCATTTGCAAAGATGATAGAGAGGCAGTTTATATCTAGAAGCCCAAAGTAGCTAGAATACAGCAAGGAGGAGGAGAATTGTATGTCTTGAGGCTGGAGCAGGAGATGGAAGCCAAAGTATGTAGGGTTTTACAGGTTATATTGAAGATTTAGAACTTTGTACTAAGAGCAGTTAGAAACCATTATAGGATTTTAAGCAGGGGTCGGATAACCTGCTTAAGTTGGTATGTTTAAAAGATCACTGTGATATTATATAAAGATGAATTTCGTAAAAACCAGAGTAGAAAGATGAATCAGACAATTGCTGAACCAGCACCACAGGCCAGACATGTTATATACTTTAATTTCTTATGGAGTCGGTTTGCAGAGCTGTTGTAGGTTGCCTACAACCTGAATAGAGGAAAGAAGACAGTAAATAATTGGGTTAATACAGGGTTGGGAAGGCAAACCCAAAGTGGCACGGAAGTGAAGAAATTGAGGATGCTGATAACAATGTAATTGAAATGATTGATGTTGAGCTTCGTATCTATTAAGGAAGGAAATAAGCCAGCATTAGAATTCTCAAAGGTTTTTTCCCAGTGCATGTGTCTACTGAAATTCTAGACTGACATTTTCTGACTGAAACATTTACAGAATCAAAAAGTAAAGCAAGAGTGTTTGAGTTGAATTTATTTAATATTTGTTAGGAATCTGTGCCAGGCTCTGTGTCTATAGACATGAATGAACCATAGCTTCATCCTTCAAGAACTTACAACACAGTTGTATAGATACCAATTGGGGTGAAGAGTGTACATATCTTTGTTTGTTTTTAATCCAGATAATAATTTGCTTTAACCAGATTTGGTTAGAAGCAAACATTTACATTTTTGTAAGTAACTTTTATTATTAAAATTAAAATTAATAATAATTACCATTACTATTAAAGTATCATTTATACCATAACTGTTTTTAGTTTGTGTTTAAGGTCCTAGGATATCTTTTCAAAAATTTCTTTTTGATACTTAAAGTTTATAGATTCGAAAACTGAAAGTGCCTCTAATGATTACTTGATTCAGTTTCCCAAAGTGCATGTATGTACCATTGGTCATAAACAGGGTGATTTTGTAACCAGAAAAGACACGGCATTCAGCCTGCCTGTCACTACCAAATCCAATAAGCAATAACAGGGATTGAATCTTTTACGGGTGCATTATTCAGATGGCCAGTGATCCAAGAAGATGGCGGGTTCATACCCTAACAAACCATCTTCCCTTCTCTTTCTTGGCCAGATCTTTCATAAGGGGGATAGGGAAGGACCAACAAGGTGTGGTGAGGGCTTTCAGATTCAGAAGCTGCAAAACTGGTGACCTCAGCAGTTAGCTGTTCCCAAGATGGGGTTGGTCATCTGTTCCCCTGGAAGACAAAAGCCCCGATGCTTCCAGTTTGTCCCCAGGCAGTAATCTCTAGCCAGTGCCCCAGGAGGTTGGCTGTTTTTCCCAGGAGCCAGGATGGGCCTTATCTGTATTTTCTGAAACAAAAGCTTTTTAACATACACATTACTTGCTAGACTTACAACTTTTTACCTTAAGCTAAAATTTTCCGAGTCTTGAGTCCCCTATCAATTTTAGGTAAAACACAGTCAAGCATTTTTAAATAGTTATCTATTTATTTTAATGTATGTTAGAAAAAATATACTTAGCATATTATACCTATAATTCATGGACCTTATGAGATTAAAATCAATTTTTAGATTTAAAAAATGAGTCAATTTAAATAAAAATATTAAATTTAACACACAGGTGGTACCTAAATGACTAAATTTTAAGAAACCCTAATCTAAACCAACTTTTATGCTGTATAGGTGAATAAACAAAAGGACCCCCAAACACAAAGGCCTTTACAAGCCATATAGCTAATACATACGTCAGAGCTAGAAATGGAACTCAGCCCTGCTCAGGGCATTTCATTGTTTCTTCTGCCTTAGGGTTGCTTCTTACTGTTAAAATCAGGGAACAGGCCACTGTCTTACATTGCACTTGAAATCTGCATTAAAGTGGCTGCATATGGCCATTTATATTAAAATTAATTAAAATTTAAAATTTGTACTGGTCATATTTCTTGTACTCGGTGGCTCACATGTAGCTACTAGCTACCATATTGGACAGTACATATGGAGAACATTGATATCATTGCAGAAAATTCAGATGGCTAGTACTGATCTAAACTATGGCTTAGTAACATGATTCATAAACTCTTTAAAATTTTACCCTCTTCAAATGGATGATGTCATTTGCTGACCACACTGAAGTTATTTTAACCCTAAGGTTAAGCTGAAGGTACTAGTAACATGTAATTAAAATAATTGATCATGGGAAATAAAGCCAGAATGGAATTCTCAGGTTTTTTTTACCAGCTCATCTTTTGGGGGGAAGTGTTTTTTTTTTTTTTTTTGTCAATAAATATTGTCTTGAATTCATAGCAGACAGAGACAAAAAATGTATATAGATTGAAAAACAGAATGACTGTATAGACAATTTCCTGACTTTCTGAATTGTTGATTCAACCTAGAATTATATCTTGTTAACACTTTAAACTTTTCATTTTTAAACAGATACTCGGTGAATGGACCTGGCTGGACACTTTGAGCACATCAATAAACATGAGCGGTACCAAACCTGACATACTGTGGGCACCACACCAGGTTGATAGATTTGTTGTGTGTGACTCAGAACTGAGCCTTTATCATGTGGAATCTACTGTGAATTCAGAACTCAAAGCTGGATCTTTACGTTTATCTGAAGACTCTGCAGCTACATTACTATCAATAAATTCAGATACACCCTATATGAAATGTGTTGCCTGGTATCTCAATTATGATCCTGAATGTCTCCTAGCAGTTGGACAAGCAAATGGTCGAGTTGTACTTACGAGTCTTGGCCAAGATCACAACTCAAAGTTCAAAGATTTGATAGGAAAAGAATTTGTTCCAAAACATGCACGACAATGCAATACCCTTGCTTGGAATCCATTGGATAGTAACTGGCTTGCTGCTGGTCTAGATAAACATAGAGCTGATTTTTCAGTGCTGATTTGGGATATCTGCAGCAAATATACTCCTGATATAGTCCCCATGGAGAAAGTGAGACTTTCAGCAGGTGAAACTGAAACAACATTATTAGTAACAAAGCCACTTTATGAATTAGGACAGAATGACGCTTGTCTCTCTCTCTGTTGGCTTCCACGGGACCAGAAACTTCTGCTTGCTGGTATGCATCGTAATCTAGCCATATTTGATCTTCGGAATACAAGCCAAAAAATGTTTGTAAATACAAAAGCTGTTCAGGGGGTGACAGTAGACCCATATTTCCATGATCGTGTTGCTTCCTTCTATGAAGGTCAGGTTGCAATATGGGATCTTAGAAAATTTGAGAAGCCCGTTTTGACTTTGACTGAGCAACCAAAACCCTTAACGAAAGTAGCATGGTGTCCAACTAGGACTGGGCTGCTTGCCACTTTAACAAGGGATAGTAATATTATTAGATTGTATGATATGCAGCACACACCCACTCCCATTGGTGATGAAACTGAGCCCACAATAATTGAAAGAAGTGTTCAACCTTGTGACAATTACATTGCTTCCTTTGCTTGGCATCCTACAAGCCAAAATCGAATGATAGTTGTAACTCCCAACCGAACGATGTCCGATTTCACTGTTTTTGAAAGGATATCTCTGGCCTGGAGCCCAATTACATCTTTAATGTGGGCTTGTGGTCGTCATTTGTATGAATGCGCAGAAGAAGAAAATGATAATTCATTAGAAAAAGATATAGCAACGAAGATGCGCCTTCGGGCTTTATCAAGGTACGGACTCGATACAGAACAGGTGTGGAGAAACCATATTTTAGCTGGAAATGATGATCCACAGCTCAAGTCATTGTGGTATACTCTGCACTATATCCTTTGTGTTGTGAATTTTTAGATGAATCAGGTAGAAATGTTCTTGACGTTTGCCGAAAGGTCAGTCTATAAATATGTTGAGTGTTTTATATGCAAATATACGTTACATAAGACATATTACAAAGTAAAAGTGTTTAAAACTGTTGAACTTGAAATACTGCTTTGCAGATTGTGTGGGAGGAAGAAAGTATAGCTCTACAACAGAGTAGAAGCACCTTGCTTGCACTGATACCTAATTATGAATTGGCTCCAAATCAAAATAAATTTAGCTTTGAAATATTTTATTGTGTATCATTACTAGTATTTCCTATGCATTTAAATACTCATGAAGCAGTATACAGAAGATATGGACCAGAAATCTCCAGGCAACAAAGGATCATTGGTTTATGCAGGAATTAAATCAATTGTAAAGTCATCTCTGGGTAAGAAAATTCCAATTTCTGCAACATGTTTATAATTTTTGTATTTCAGGATAGTATACATAAGTATTCTTTTGGGGGGTAATATGTTAGTGAGTGTTTAGTTAAATGCATAGTTGTCTATATCTAAAATACTTTTTGGAGGGCATCATGGTTCTGTAAAGTGGTACTGACTTTCTAAATCTATTCACTCATTTGTTTGATGGTTTGGGTTCTTTTTTTGAAGACCCACTTTGAGAGGTATCACGTTAGATGATTTTTAGGATCCTGGTTGTTCAAATTGTATTATAGTATTTAGCTTATATAAAAACTGAGTAAAAAGATTTTTAGTTGAAGAAGACAGCTTTTTATTTTCCTGCCTACTTTATTTAGCTATGTAATGGCAAGGTCTGTATATAATTATGACACTGCTTATGGCCTTACCTAAAGGACCCTTACCTGAAAGAGCCCTTGATGACTGAATGACTGTGTGAATTACTGTAGGATTGAACCTGATAAACCATTTAAAAGTAAAGTAAGATGGCAAAAGAGCCAAATTTATTATTTTTTCACTGACTTTTTAAAAGTTGTTTTTTATTGTACTTAAATAGTGGCTTATATTATAATCATTTCTCCAACCTAGGATTTGGTATTTAGCTTTTGATAGGAATCAAATTCGGGCCTAATGCAAGCTGCTGGAAAAGTTCATGTTATTTAGTCAAAGAATGGTAATAAAAGTAATAGCTCCATCATGTTTTTTAATTTGATTTTCATAAATACTGTACAAATAATATAAAGTAAAATGCTATTCTTTAATAATAGTAGGTTAAACATTTTAATTAAACTTATAATTATTTAAAGGACTTTCAAATTACTTTAGTTCACATTGATGAAGATGCAATGGACTACTTTTCAAACCCATTTTGCTTTGGGATTCTCATTAACTCTCCATCAAAAAAGTATCTTTTGTTGTAAATAATAAAATGAATGAGTTCAATTAGAAACTTCTGGTTTTTATTAATATTAGTAGAAAGGCAGATATACCTTATAACCCCTATCGGTGAACCTGAATACTGTGGTTCATGACTTTAGAACCACTGCTGCAAAGAATTAAACACCAAGTTTATAGAATATTTAGTATTTTATCTAAATACTAGGTCAGGCCACATTGAGGTTTATTGTCCGTTTTGTTGTATTTTGATAGGTTTTAGGGAAAAGCCACCAAACTACATCTGAGGAAAAGCAAGGGGAAAGGTAGAATATCTGTGTTTTTGTCGCAGTAGAGACAAACTAGGTATCTTGACTTAAGTCAAGAGCAGTCTTCACCCAGACTAAAAACCACTGTTGGAAAGAGTTCCTTGTTGCTAGACTTGCAGCTTTTTGTTCTGTTTGATTTAGGTGTTTCTGTTCCGACAAGGTGAAAGTAATAGGTAGAGAAATGACTGCCAAAGATGGCATTTCTATGTTTCAATCTTTTATCTGGTTATATTCCTTTCTCTAATGGTATCTCTAATAATTTAACACATAATAAGTCAACACGTCGAGCCATCATGGCCACTGTAGGTTTATTAGAACACACAGGTTTATTAGTCAGGTTTATTAGAACACACAGCTACATTTTAACTTTTGTGACAAATAATATGTGTTTAGTGTTTACTATGAATTAGACGTCGTGCTAATTGCTTTCCCCATGTAATTTTATTCTTACTACTGTAAAGTGAGGTAAATTTATTTATTCATTGAGCCAATTATTTATTACTTGTTCACTGTGTGCTAAGAATTGTCCAAGGAACTGGATACATAACTATCAACAAAATATTCGTCATGGATACACTGACCAAGATAGCTATCATTTCTACTCCTGGGAGTTTACATTCTACTTCAGAATCAGGACAACTAAACAGCTAGTTATAACGAGAGGAAGAACAGACAGTTCTACATAGAATTCCTGACCTGATTGTAGTGTTCCTTACCAAGGTTAGTGGCCGAGGAACTAGAGAAATGTGGGTAAATTAGATTGGGACATAATTGAATGATTAGTTGGATAAAGAGGTCGGAGAAGGAAAAGTGAAAAGATAGCACACATATTAGGAATTTAGCTTAGAAAACTGGGTTAATTCTGCTATCAGTTAATTAGACAGGAATAACATAGGAAGAGCATGTTTGAGGAGAGTAAGAATTTTTTTTTTTGGATTAAGTTGAATTTGAGATAACTAGTTGGAGATGTCCACTGGGCTAGCAATTTAGAGTAGGTTGAAGAAGTGAAGTCACCCATTTTATGTAATTCAACAAACTTGAATTGTGAAGGAGGATAAAAATACATACAATACTAGTAGCAGGTGAATTTAGTATCAGGGGAGGACTTGCGTATGGTTTTGTTTTCTATTTGTACATGGGATTAATTTAAGCATGACTAAATGCTGATGCATAAAAGCCCATAGAAAGAGTTTGAAAATGTAGGGAAAAGGAGGTGAAGAGCAAAAGTCCTAGGAATGGGACAGAGTGATCCAGAGCTTTAGATAGGAGGATGTATACCACTTCCGTATTAGCCAGAGGGAAAGGGGGAAGGTATGCAGTTTGTTTAAGGTTCCCTGACCAGAGCTGAGGGGTTTTCCACCTGATGACTCATATTTTTTCTATGCAGTAGGTTTACTTGTTGAGAAAGAGCAGAGAGGTTGTCTAGAAAAGATGCAAAGAAGAGGAGAAAGAGTTGCCTTAAGAAACATGGGAAGATTGTGGGGAAATCTTTTACCAAAGGAAAGAACAAACGACAGTGGTTGCAGGAGAATGAAGGGTACTGGCAAGAGAATGATTCGTTTGTTGATCCTTGGGCTTGAGCTTGGATAGGGAAGAAAATGAAAGACTGGCCAATAAAAATATGAGTGGTCAGGAGAGTGTGAGGTTGAAGGATATGGAAATGGGATTTCTGAAAGGCTTTGAGGTCATGGTTAGGAAGGTCTCTTTTGGAGGAGGAGCAGTTTAGAATGTGTGCATGAAAACAGAGGGTAAAGGAGATGTTGACCATGGGAGATAAGGAGCAAAGAGACGACTGTATTGGAGGACTAAGTGTTGAAATCAACCAGTGTGAGGAGAATGCGTGCTCTGAGGAAATGCCTTACAGTCTTGAATAGCGGTTTTCACAGTGTTTGTCAATAGGTATAATTTCTTCCTTTTAAGATAACAGAAAATTGTGTAATAAATTTTCATCAGCTTCCCATCCAGCATGAGAAAAAAAATTTTCATGCTTAAAGGGTATATACTCTGGTCTACAGAACTTACCTATTCAGAATTACTTGACGGGGCAAACAGGCTGGGATTTAGTGTTTTTACCAACAAAATATTCTTTATAAACACTGGATAATTTTACTGCTTTTTATATAGATATAAAAATGAAACAAATTAATATGTACAAATAGCAGAGTGTCTTATTGCATGATATAGTATTCGAGACAAATTTTTAATATTATTTATTTTTTAACAGATCAGTTATTTAATTAGGTTTTCAGAACAAATTTAGAACTTCATTTTGTGAGGATAAAGGCCATTTGTGAGAGCAAATAGAGAGCAGAGGTAGCCCTGGAGCTGGGGAACAGCTTTGATTTTTGGCAGAATTTGCTAGTCCATGGCTTGCTGATCAACCTTGCGTTGCTTTGTAATCTTCTATTTCTCTTTCTCGGTATTGAAGATTTCCCCCTCCTGGTGGTGTACAGGTATGCACAGCTGCTTCTTCTTGAAGTAGGCGTCAGTTAGATGCTTGGGGATTTTCACACACCGCTGATACCAATTTTGGTAGAAGTGGCGGTGGCAAATTTCTGGTGTGTTCTGGCCTCGTTAAAGGCCAGAGGTCAGGTCACAAGCAGCAAGCCACTGCTCAGTGGCTTCAGGAAAACCACCCTCTTATGAGAAAACCATCCTCTGGTGAGGATGATCAGAATGGTCCTGGGAGTGATGCTGGCCCGCAGTTTTCTCACGTGCTAACTGAAGGGTTTCTTGCCTTGGCTCAACAGCTTTCTACATCTTCAGTAGGATAGTATCTGGCATTTTGTGAGTTTAACCACTTGGGTACTACTATTCTTGTTGCCACCAACTGGTTTAGTGACAGTTCTCCCATAACTTTCTCTTTCTTTTTCTTTTCAATCCTGATTTAGCTGTGGAATATTTCCTCTTGTACATGGCTTTTTGGGAATACCTCGCTGACCGGGAATACCTGCCAATTCCTCTGACTAGGTCAGAGTTTCAGCTGCAGTGCAGCTTCCCCTTAGGTGTCTTGGCCTTGAGGTTCCCCTTCGTAACCTTGCCACCAGCATCAGCCTTTTTGGCTTGGGGTTTCTTCTCCTTAGTACCCGGCTTCTCAGGTTTTTTGCCCGCTATCTCGCAAGATGGGAAAAAGCTTTTTTAATGTTTTTTAATAAGTGAATTTATTTCTCTTTCGACCATTGATAAAATGTTGACTCTATTATTCATATAAAATTTAGGGGATACAATTTTGTCATTTAGTATTGTATAACATACATAAATATGTTTTGATTTTTTTCAGAGCTATGTTAAAATCATATATTTAAAATTCAGTTTTTAGATGTTCACATCCCAATGAATTTCATTAAGTAACAAAATGGTTTATATTTGTTTATCAGATATAAAAAAATCCATACATGTTAGAAATCATAATATGACTATATACTTAAAAATCCACAATAATATCACATTGCTTATTTGATGACCCTAGTTACCTATAGTGTAGTTACCAGAGTAAGAATGTCTTTGAGCAGCTTAAATATGTGACACAATTTTCCACCTCCTAGCGGTGAAGTCTTTGGATTGATGTGTACTGCTCTCTATTCTATTTCATAACAAAATTTCTGTAAAGTGAAAACTTTTAAGAAACGGGAATGTTATTAAACTGTGAGGAGCCTTTTAAAAAATAATTGGCTGCTTTTTGTCCATTTAAAATTGTTATTTTTATCATTAATTAAATAATATCAGCATTGAATCCAAAATTTATAGGGGAGATATGAAAATAAATGCCTTAGTACATCTGCAGCTTGTACCTGAAATTTAATAACTACACTCCATCTAAACAATCTAAATTTGTAAAAGTAATTTATTCAAAAAACTAATGTTTTGTTTAATTTTAACAGGATTTTTTTAACTTTGACTTCTAATTACTCAAAGCTTTCTCAGAGTTCTTAAAATTTCACTTTCAGAAACTAAAGGTGATATTTTTGTCTCAACTGACTCCCATCATAGTTACTAGCAGGGCAGAATGCTTCCTCATTTTGATGGGCAGAGGGCTCTCTTAAAGGAAGATAACTTTCAGAAGTCTTCTCCTAGCTCCTTGACCTGAATTGGCAACAGCTTCCAATAGTAAGGTTAAAAATGAGTTTTTTCAAGTGTATTAATTAACTTTTTTAAATTTCAAGTTTTACAAATAACCCACCTTGAAACTTTTTAATAAAGTTTGAAGGTAAAACTTCCTGGAACATTGAAGAATTTGAGTTGTAGTTAATAGAGTCCTTAAGTTTTCTATTTATTTAACTTTTACTTGGCACCAGGTATAATTCTAAGTGAAATTATCCTGCCGTTAGGGTCAGCTGCCTTGATTGCTATCTAAATAATGCTACCAAGAATTTATTTAGATTTCTTCCAAAAAGAGAATGACAATATAAAATCTCCTGATTTAAGGCGGGGAGGACTTCAAATCATTCCTATTGTATTTTAGCTTTAGTAACCTTATACTTTCAAAGCATTTTGATGTTTATGATCTCATTTTTCCATATCCATGTGTGTATAGGTATACACATAGAGAGACAGAAAGTGGAGGAGGGAGAGAGAGTGAGCATGTGTTGAATCTCAAGTACCAGCAATACCTTTTGAACAAAACAGACAAGATACCTGCCCCTTTGGAGCTCATGTTAGAGTATTAGAAGAGATAAGACTAAAACATGAATGTTTTTTAAAAGGGGGAGCATATGTTAATGCTAAAGGAAAGAGAGGAAACACTTAGATAATAGCAGGGGGCACCCTTTAGATTAGTTGCCAGGTAGGCTTCTTTGAAGCAGTGACTCAGCTTAGACTGTCAGGCAGTGACTTTTAGTCCAGTAGGTCTTTTTGATATTTCACAATACTGTCTTACTCACCAATTTGTAAAATGTTTTGTTTGGCATATTTTACATTTTGTCATCAAATTGTGGCTGAGAAGTGGAGCATTCAGAATCTGATGTTGAAATATTTAACTGTAAAACTGACTTATTTTCCAAATATACTTCAGAAAATAATACATGATAAAACAATTAATATAAAAATGTTTCTTGTTTTAGGAATGGTGGAAAGCAGCAGACATAATTGGAGTGGACTGGATAAGCAAAGTGATATACAGAATTTAAATGAAGAGAGAATCTTAGCTTTACAGCTTTGTGGGTGGATAAAGAAAGGAACGGATATAGATGTGGGGCCATTTTTGAACTCCCTGGTACAAGAAGGGGAATGGGAAAGAGCTGCTGCTGTGGCATTGTTCAACTCGGATATTCGACGAGCAATCCAAATCCTGAATGAAGGGGCATCTTCAGGAAAAGGTATTGGGTTTATATTCTAAGAGACTTGTAATTCATAGATTCCTTTAAAGAAAAGATGCTGATAATTTTCAAAAATCTAATTGGTTAATAGTTTTATGTAAGTTTTTTGAAAGAAATTAGCACAGTACTATATCTGTAAATATTAGCCCATCCCCTTGTTTATGCCTTAGTTTAAATCTGTAGAAAAGAAAATATGGCCCTGGCCAGTGTGACACAAGTCGGTTGGAATGTTGTCCTGTGCCAAAAGGTTTCAGTTCAGTTTCCAGCTGGGGCCCATGCCTGGTAGCAGGTTCAGTTCCTGGTCCAGACTGTGGTCTGGGCGAGGATGGGAAGCAACCAGTCGAGGTTTCTCTCTTGCATCAGTGTTTCTGTTCTCCCCGCCTCTCTCTGAGAAGCAATGAAAAAAATGTCCTTGGGTGGGGCCCCAAAAATTTTTTTTAAGAAAGAGAATGTGTCTTAGCTGTCCTTTAAGAAATGCTCAAATGTGTCCATTTTCAAAGCTTTTTTATTTTAAAGATAGTTCACACACATTTTAAAAATATTTTCTTGATTAGGACTACTTTAGTTTGCAAGCATTTTTATGGTGAACATTTGAATGTATTTCATTTTATAGTTGATTTTTTGAATAGTTATTGGTTGACTTAGAAAACTTTGCACAGTAGTTCTAGTTAGAATAATATAAATTCTTAGAAAAAGGACATTTTGATTTGCTAATATAATTCTATTGAGTCTGCTGATTTAAGCATAGTTTCCATTTAATATTTTTTAGAAAGGAAGAAAAAGTGAAATGTGATAGTTTTTGCTCTAACATTTTGCAAGAGAATACTCAGAAACATAAATCTTAATCCAGAAATTCAGCTTTTTCTTATAGGAATATATTACTTGGAAATATCTAAATGTATATAGGTACTGAATTTGAATACACTAGCACATTATTTCTGAGTTCTCAGAATACCATATTTTTAGGACTATAAGATACACTGGACCATAAGATGCACCTATGTTTTAGAGGAAGAAAATAGAAAAAAAATTGAAGCAAAAAATGTGGTAATATATTTAATAACGTAAATAACATAATATTTCACCAGTGTAGATGTAAACTACATTTACTAGCCAGGTAAGTTATATTCGGACTATAAGGTGCACCCCCATTTTCCTCCCCAATTTGGGGGGTATGTCTTATAGTCCCAAAAATACAGTACTTAGTTGCTATTTTTTTGCTCTATTTAGAAACCATTACAGCTTTGTTGTACAATAGAAGAAAATATGAAATTAGCTGTAATATATTTACTTGCAATCTAAAGGTTGAAAAAGCTAATGTTCTGTCCAGGTTGGCCTTTTTTTCTCTTCACGTTTGTTACAATGTAAGTCTTCCCCATGTGAGATTCCAATAGAAGACATGGTGATGGGAAGAGGAATGGATATTTAAAGTCATTTCTAATGATAATTTTGCTGCAGCCTGAGAGCATGATACTTTTCGTGTCATGTGCACCTGGAATATTTGGTGTTAGATATGAGCACTCAGCTAACAATAGGGGAAAGTATTCTAATGATTTTAATAATTTGCTTAAGAACTGAAGGCAAGATTTCTCTGAATCCAGTATTTCTTTCCATTTGGAAATAAATTGTTCTTAGCAGGATTCAAAGAAGATACTCCTTTTTTTGGTATTAATTAAAGACTTTAATAGTAGGCAGAGAATCAAGCACAAAGTAACTGGGGAACGTGTTTATAGAAATGAAGAACGAGGCTATTAAGGATGTAAGGTGGGAAAGGGAAAAATACTGTTTTATTTGGAAAAGAAAGAAAATATTTAGAATTAGGAAACAATAAGATAGCTGCCATAATAAATGTAGAAAATACTTAAGAGTCAAAGTTAAAGGTTCATATAGTTTTCTCTTTGGAAGCTAAACTTGTTAGAAGGCAAGGCAGCCGTAGGCCTGACTTCTTGGTTAGCAGCTTATCCGCAGCCACATAAACTTCTAGGCATAGATGTTTAAAAGACTATTAGTAACAAATGCTTTGTTGTAAGTGTGTCTAAATATAATTCACTGGTAGTACTGATAGTTAATTTGTCCCAGAAAAATTAAAAGTGTAATACTCTAATAAGGGTGCTAAAATAGTGGGTTTTAATACCTTGTAGTTAAAGCATGTGCATAAATATGTGCATTATATATTTAAGAATAGGAAAATAAAATGATTTTAAAAATTGCAGTCCCAAGATACAGTATATTTATTATCAGTTCTTTAAAACATCTCAACTAATGTAAATGAATTTGATGGTAAAGTTGGCAATGATTCTGGTAGGATGGCTTCACTTTTCTTCAGTTAGTTCCTGAGTACACACTGTATGAGAACCTGCCCGGAATGAGGACTTGAAAATTAAGAGGTACTTCTGAAATTTTCCAATCTGCATCAAAACTCTTATTCTAGTAGGTTTATTTCGGGGGGTAAAATCCACCCTGTGGTCCTTATTTGTTCATAGTTTTAAGAACTGGGATGAAGGAGATGCTGAGTTTTGGGTCACTTTGATCAAGCTGGCTGTCTTTAACGTGCAGGAGATCTGAATCTCAACGTGGTAGCAATGGCCCTGTCGGGTTACACCGATGAGAAGAACTCCCTTTGGAGAGAGATGTGCAGCACTCTGCGGCTACAGTTAAACAACCCCTATCTGTGTGTCATGTTTGCATTTCTGACGAGTGAGGGAGGATCTTATGACGGAGTATTGGTAAGCTTATTTCTGTCTCCCAAGATTCTCTTTTTAAGGTCGGAGCTTTTATCTAACTTTGTTAAAAATTTCAAATGTCTATTGCATAAAATATTGTTATAGTTCAGTGCATTTTCTGTTTAAAACAAAGTACCTTAAATATTTTTTGAGCAGCTCTCCTTAAATATGACTGCCAACCTAGAGTTAGTTAATTGATATCAAACTGAACTTGACTTTTAAAATAGTTTTAGTTACATAATTTACAGGCATGGAATAGGATTTTACCTGTTAGCTTAAGAATTGAGCTCTAGAACTCTATAACTACATAGACATAAATATTTCATTAAAATATAATTTTTAAAAGTGTGTGTATGTTTATTGTTTTTGTTAAGTAAACCAGCACCTGATCAGGATGACCGTGTCTTGTCTGATAATTCGTCATTCTTGGACATGTTCTAGTTTGGAATATAAAGTATATGATGACACTCCTTATAGTGTCTATTTCATATTATTTGGTCTTTTTTTGCCATTTCATTTTCTTCTGCTTTAACTACTTGTGACCACAATTATCACATAGGTTTTTTTATTACAAAATTGGGAGAGAAAGAATAAAATGAGATTTGCTTATCAGTATTAGTTACTGAGTTTTAAACTTCACATTGGTACCACAACTTTCTTTATTCTATTGGGTTTCTTTCTAGCACTGAGAAGAGCTTTCTAACGTGAAAGTTATTTCTGTTTGACATTACAGCATTTCTTATAAAATATACATTGCTTGAATGATTGGTTTAATATTAGTCCCTAAGAGTTTATAAAAAACATGTATTATATTTAGGTATCTTAATGAAAATGTTAATGTTAGTGTCCATTTTGATAACTCCTTAGTTTGTATATTTTGTTCATTACTTTAATAAATTGCTATTTAACTTTTCTGACAATTTCAGACTGATATCTAGAGTGTGCTGGGGCTCCTTTTGTTTTTACTGTCAGGATTCTTTTTGCTAAACAGAAGACTTTAATTGTTGCACATTGAAGAAATAAATTGATGCTTTCAGGAAGTGCTAGAAAATGATAGAGACTAGAAAAGAAGCGGACGGTTTAAATTTTAAATTGATAGAGAAATATATTGTCTAAACATTTAATTCTGTATTTTAAATTAAGTGACCTGTTATAAAGACCCTTCTTTTCTTATATCTAAATTTTATTAATTAGATAGGGGTATCTTATCTTGAGTAGGAAGTTCCTATTTCCAAATTATTTCAAGAGTGTACCTAATTATACTTTATGTATAAATAATTATAATTAATGTTGTTCTTTTAAAAAATTGTCACCCAAGGACATGCCCATTGATTTTAGAGAGAGGGAAGAAAGGGAGTGAGAAAGGGAGAGAAATACTGCTGTGAGAGAGAAACATCGGTTGGTTGCTGTGCATACCAACCAGGAACCAAACCCACAGCCTAGGCATGTGCCCTGACTGGGCATGGAAACTGGGACCTTTTGGTTTATAGAACAATGCTCCAACCAGCTGAGCCACACCAACCCAGACTTAATGCTGTTCTTTAAAAAAATTGTCAAGTTGCAGTAATCTAGTAAAAAGTACTGACTTCGGAAATCAAAAGATAAAGGTCTGCGTTTTTTGCTGTGCTGCATTTACCTTAGCTGGTCAGTTAACTTTTGGGGATTTTAGTTTCCTCAGCTGTAAAATGGGGCAGATAATATTTATAACTCTTTCTAGATCAGAATTTTAACACATGAAACTGAATCTAAAAGTTAAATCCACATTGATTCAAGCATGTTTTCTCTTTAGGGCAGAGCCCTAAAAAATATTTTGTATTTGTAAAAACATACTAAGAAAGGTATCGAGTGAAGTAGTCTTATGTTTAAAGGGGGAAAACTGTAGTTCATAGAATGACTTTAATGGAAATAAGATTTTTTGCCCACCTTTAAACTACATTTTTTACTTATCACAAAATTAATTGTACCTTTCTGCATTCATAGTAAACATTTTCTCAGAATATTGTTCTGTACTGTTGGAAATTATACACAAATTTAGGTATTGGCATAATTCCTCCAAATTTTTTAACACAAACCACCTGTTTTTCTATACACACAAAATTGTGTTTATTGTTAGTAATGGCATGTTTTAAGATTGTTCCCTTTGTATTTAGAAACATGTTGATTTTCTTTCTCAGTTCTGCACTGGTGTATTTGTACTAGTACATTCACTGGTAATTCACCAATTTCCTGGACTTGTTGGCTAACTTAGCAGCCAAAGAAAGATTTCCTCTTAACCCCGAAATTAGTTCCTGTGTTAAAAAGATTACATAGCATCTTAAGTTTCATAACTGCATCATTGTTTGTATTTTCTGTTGGAGTTAGATAAGACAGAACTAGAATTTTTTTAACTGAATTGGTCACTTCAGTATTTAAGAGGTAAATTTTTACTCTATAAGACTAACTTTTTTGAGTTACATTAGGAGCATCTTAGGTGAAATAAGTCAGACCGAGAAAGACAAATATCACATGATTTCACATACATGTGGAATCTAAAAAAAAGTAAACTCCTGAGGAGACATGGCAAGTGACTATAGCATGCTCTCCTGAAACAGAAAAGTATGTTATACAAAAACTAAACAAACCAGAATAAACTATGGGCTTTAGTTAATAATTTTTAAAAAAAGTAAATGAACAAACAGAACAGAAACAGACTCACACATACAGAGAACAAAATGATAGTTGCCAGATGAGAGTAGGGTTGGGGAGCTGGGTGAAAAAGGTGAAGTAGTTAAGGAAGTACAAATCAGCAATTAGAAAATAGTCATGGGGATGTTAAGGTACAGCATAGAAAATATAGTCAGTAATTTTGTAATAACCATGTGTGGTGTTGGGTGGGTATTAGACTTATGGGGGATCACTTCTTAAAATATATAAATGTCTAACCACTGTGCCGTACACCTGAAACTAATGTAATACTGAATGTCAACTATAACTGAAATTTTAAAAAATTTTTTCAGAAGGTGTCTTAGGGGATCTATGGCTCTGCCAATATATACACAATAACTTATGAATACCTTTGAAAATAAATATTATACTTTTTGTATATAAAATACTTAGTCTTCAGCCCTGCTTGGTGTGGCTCAGTGGATTGAGTGCTGTCCTATGAACTAAAGCGTTGCTGGTTTGATTCCCAGTCAGGGCACATGCCTGGGTTATGGGCCAAGTCCCAGTTGGGGGCATGCAAGAGGCAACTGGTAGATATTTCTCTCACACATTGATGTTTCTTTCTCTCTCTTTCTCCCTCCCTTTCCCTCTGTAAATAAATAAAAAATTAAAAAAAATACTTAGTCTTCAAAAGTTTAGAACTCATAACATCTACAAGTAACTCCTTGCTTTTTCTTCTTTCAGTATGAAAACAAAGTTGCTGTACGTGACAGAGTAGCGTTTGCTTGTAAATTCCTTAGTGATAGTCAGGTAAGAACTGATACAATTTTATGCGTGAAGTGATTATTATTTATTGTTACTGGACTAAAAAACTGATTTTATGTATAAATATATATGTGAGATATATATAAATTCTAAAAAGTAAATAATCTCTATTAGATTAAGTATTGTAAATGTATGTGATAACTAAATTTACTTTTTGAATAATGCTGACTTCATATTTTAGTTTATTTCTGCTTTTGGGAGTAAGACTGGTCAGTTGATAAAGATGTTAAACTCACCTTTTAGGGATGCTATAAACTGATTCCTTTGTTTTCTAAGATAGTAAATAGGAACTGAATACATATGCTATATACAGGGTCTGGCATAAATAATGCCCCTTTTTATTACAAAATCTTTTATTACAAAATCATAAGCTTGTAATTCTGTGAAATAACAGTATGGCACTCAAGCACACCATGTGACATTTTAGGTGAAATGTTCAAATTAAAACTATAAATTATTACACCCATGTCTTTACCCTACCAACCACACTCAAGCAGGAGTTAACTTCTGCCAGACCTTGTATATAGTGAGAGAGAAATGCACACAAATAACTAGCATTACAATGTGGTAAGTGCTATAATAATGAAAAAGTGCTGGAGGGAATATAAAGAAGTCTTGGTAAGAGTTCGGGGTGGAAGGAAGTCTGGGAAGACCTTACAAGAGATGGTTATTTTTCATAGTCTTCAAGTTCTCTTTTAACTCATTCTGTAATTCTGTTATAATATATCCTACTATAATAGACGGCAAGAACTTTGCAGAATAATAAGGATGGTTCTCTTTAAATTGGTAATAGTATATAAACCATCTAGTTATTTTATAGAATAATCATCAAACATACAAATGCCTTGCCTTTTTAAAAACCATTTTAAGTGATCATAAATATTTCATTGTAATTTATATTAGATGCAAAGACTTCTTAAAGATCATGCCTCTAGATTTTTCCAGAGGCTTTTGTTTTAAAATATTTTCTATTAATAAAATTGTCCCACATGTAGAGAAGTTTTTGAAGGACAAGAGGTAGGGTGAAATGGATTGCTTCAGAAGAATCACTTTGAATTTTCCAGTTAAATAGATATATCGAAAAGTTGACCAATGAAATGAAGGAGGCTGGAAATTTGGAAGGAATTCTGCTGACAGGCCTTACTAAGGATGGAGTGGACTTAATGGAGAGTTATGTTGACAGGACTGGAGATGTCCAAACAGCAAGTTACTGCATGTTACAGGTTAGTGCAGTGTGGCAACAACTTAAAGAAAAATAAATGTTTAACCACCTTCTGTATTTTCTTCCCTCATTAAGTGGATAGGATCCACTGGCTTAGGATCTTTCGAAGGCATTTATTTAGCTTTAACCCAGTCAGTTCATCTGTGGAGGACTTCTGCCTCATCTCTCTCTCCCTAAGCCTCCTGCATTGGGTTATCCAGTTTTTCTTTTACTTTAGGAAGTATCTGTCAGTCTTGATTTTATCAGATGGAGCAAAGAAACCTCTGATTACTTTCCCCAAATGTGGATACAACTACATCTTATGCAAAAGAGGCTGAAGTTCCCTGATCTGAAATATAGTCTCATTTGAAGTGCAGAAGGCAAGTTATACCACAACTCTCTTAACTTTCATTTTCTCTTTTTATTATCAATGGACATGATTTAGGGTAACCAGTTATCTATTTGCTGTTTTTACTCTCCAGTGGTTACAAACAGATTCCTGGCAGAGGTTTCCTTCTACTTACTTATTTTGCTGAGATTTCCCATTGGTCTTCAGCTAATCTCATCCTTTCATGGTGTCCCCTTTCCTGTTTTCATCCTTTGTTATGCATGCCATGTACTGGGAAAATACAATAAAATGCTCTTTCACCCTTCATTGTGAACAAATATAGATACTAGCCTACAAACTGCAATGTAAATTTACCCTAAGATTTCAAGCTACTGCCCATGGAAGAAAAGGTGTCCTTCTATAACATAATGCATTATTTTTTTCTTATCAAAGTGGGATCGTATCTGTTAAATCAAACTGTAGATATATGGCTATACAGTACAAATGAGTTGGTAACCTCTTAACAAAATTTATAAAATATGTTTTAAATGCAGATAGGTGTATAATTGAATCTTCTTTAAAAAATTCAGTCTGATATTTATTCAGCTATGTTTCTCTTTTTTGGGTGACTTGAGTATAATACCAGCTTTTATTTTTATTTTATTATTTAAATTTATTTTTATGCTATTACATTTGTCCCAGTTTTTCCCCCTTTGCCCCTCTCTGCCCCATTCCCCATTCCCTTCAGCAGTCCCCCCGCCCAGTTCGTGCCCATTCAGCTGCGCTTCGATTGGGATGTTTCCTCCACTTATATTTATATGGTCAAGATTAAGTTTACTATCTTGCTATTTATTCTCCATTTTTTTCCTTGCTTTTGCTTACTGTTCCTTTACTGCCTTCTTTCGGGCTAATTGAATATTTCAGTGTTTTACCCATCTAGTGGCTTTTTGGCTATATCCCCTTTCCTTGTCTTTTTTAAAACATTTTAGTTCCTGATACTTAACGTTTCACACTGGATACCTCAGGCTTTCTCCTCCACCCTTAGTCTTTTGTACGTCACACCTAACACTTTATGCTTTTTGCTTTCATATTTCGCGTTTCACAAATGTTAAACTGTGTAATTCCATTTATACCCCCTTCCTTCGTTCTGTTGTCATATATTTTACCTCTGCATGTTGTCCAACACAGGGTTATGCTTTTGCTTTGAACATTTAGCTGTCATTTGTGTAAATTATGCGAAGAACAAAACCATGAGCTTTTATATTTATTTACTTATTTACTATTCCAGGTACTCTTTAAACTAGTAGACCCAAATTTTATCTGGTATCCTTTGGTCTTTCTCGCTGGCATTTCTTAAATTACAGTATTAGTGATGACAGATTATCTCAGTTTAATTTTAACTGAAAATGTCCATTTTGTTCTTGTTTTTCTTTCAGCCTTTAAAGATTTGGTTTCATAGTCTTTTGGCCTCCAATGTTTCTGATGAGTAGTCAGCTGTTCATATCTTTGTTTCCCCTGTGTAACTTTTTATTTTTTCCCTGGGCTGCTTTAAAGGTTTTCTTTTTGATTTTTAGCAGTTTAACCTTGATGCCTAATGTGGTTCTTGTTTTTCCTGCTTATGGTTCACTGAGCTTCTTGGATCTCCAGTCAGTGTTTTTAATCACATTTGGGAAATTTTCAGGCATTATTTCTTTAAATATTTTTTTTAGGCTTAATCTCATTCTTTTCTTTTTGAACCCTACTATACATATATTAAATCATTTAATAATATCTAATAGGTATCCAAGACTCTGTTTATTTTTCTCCCATCTTTTTTTTCTGTCCCTCAAATTGGATACAATGTATTTATTTACTCATTGACTCTTCTGTCATCTTCGTTCTGATGTTAAGTTTTCCAGGGAGTACGTAATTTCAGTTATTGTACTTTATTCTAGAATCTCAACTGTTTTATGGTTTATATTTTTCAGCCAAGATCCCTATTTATTCACTAAAACACTATTTTTCTTTAAGTTTTTGAACATATTTCTATTAGTTGCAGTGAACTCCAACAACTAACTCTAACATATGGACTTTTTTAGGTTCAGTTTTTATTGACTGTCTTTTTCCTTGACATAGACTATTTACTTGTTTATATGTCTAGCGATTCTTTATTTAGCACTACATGTTGTATATAGTACATTCTAAAGTAATGAGTCCTTGCACCTTTTTCTGAAGAATTTTGGTTAATGCTTTTGAAAGTTCAGTAACTTGCTATTCTCTTTGTCTTACACTTTACTCCTATGGATTTGTGCAAAGCCCAAGGTATCCTGCAGATGCTTCTAATTTGGTCAGATCTCATGCGAACTGTTTCCTCTGCAGGTTTTGTCAGAGCTTGATTAGGTTTTATAGGGGCCAGCTACAGGAAACAGAGAATATGAACTGGCCAAATTCCTTCTTAGTTGATCCTCACTGCCACGGAGGGGGCAAGAGTGGCAGTATGAAGATTTCTTTTTATAAAAAGCCAGGGGTTCTCTATACATAGTTCTAGCTAAGTTAGTCAAAATTAAGAGTAGAGGCTTACTTTTTTTAAAAAAAATGAAATTGTCAAGTAAGAATTTTTCCACATGTTCCTATAGCTGAATTAATTCGGGTTTGAAATTACTACGTGATTAATAGGTAAAAGATACGTTCTTTCTATTTAATGGAATGTGTAAAGATATAATACTTTTATTAGTTGTTACAGGTTTCCTCCCATTTTCCATAAGTACGATGCATGCTAAGTTCTAACAGTTTAGTGTTCTGTCTCCCGAATAGAACTGAGAAAAATGGGCCTCGTATTGATGCCCGTGGCTTCACTGTAGGTAGAGACTCTATTTTTCTTCATAAATTAAGGAAGATATATGTTGGACAGTGCTATCAACACTCTGCGCAAACCGTCCAAAGCAAGAATGATGAAATGTGGAGTGTGGCAGCTGCCAGGGAAAATACAGCTTTAGGAAAAGTCTTACTGGCAAGAAATTACAGTTTTTAATGAGAAGAATTTTAAGGAAATTCTTAATTTAAGGAAAAAGACTTACTTTTCGGTATGTCTTAGGGGCATAAGAACTAAGAATGTTTTGGGTTTGGTGTTTTTCTTTTTAAATTTTAATGTAATAAATGTATGTTTTAATTGAGGGTAAGAGTGGATATGCAGGTTTAACTTGCAGATAAATAAGTATACAAAAATAGCACCTCAGTTCACAGTTCATTGCTATATATGAAGGACCAGGCTCAGTATAATTTAAAATGTGATTTAGCTGCTTTGGTGCATATTTGGATTAGGTAGTAAACAGATGTTGTGAACCTGGAGGTTTTAAAGTTGGGATAAAGAGTATTCACATCACTTCTTGTTGCATTTATTCAGCCAGGAAGGTGACTTGTTTGTTCTTGGGTTTTCAAACTTTTTCCACTGCCTTGGCCAGTTCTAATGATACATACATTACATATAAATGCATTCTATATTTCTGTCACTAGTAGAAACCAGCTTAAAGTAAACTAATGGAGCTTCCATCAGTTATTTTATCTATATCCTCATTAGGAGTCAGCTTTTGGCAAAAAGGAGGCTTATTTTGTGTGATTCATACTCACAGATTACCTAGAATCTTCTGGTTTAGCCAGAAAATTTTTAAACAACCAAAACAATTCAGGTTTTCTTTTTAGGGTTCTCCTTTAGATGTTCTTAAAGATGAAAGAGTTCAGTACTGGATTGAGAATTACAGAAATTTATTGGATGCCTGGAGGTTTTGGCACAAACGAGCTGAATTTGATATTCACAGAAGTAAGTTGGATCCCAGTTCCAAGCCTTTAGCACAGGTAAGTACCTTGTTTTAAAGAGAATCAAATAACACCTACCTAATAGTCTAGCCAAAAGTAGAAGTATTTATAACATATTATATAGGGTACATTGAGAGTTCGATTTACTAAGTTAGTTTTAGTCACTCTTTTTTCTGTGTGGAGTTCACATTGATGTCTTTATCTGGACTGCACTTTGTCTTTGATCTTCCTGTTGTTTTGGGTCTTGCCACTTTCTAACAGTCATCTCAGTGGCTTGAGCTGTAGTCCAACATAAAGCAAACTGCAGCAGGCCTGGAGGGTCTAGGCAAACAGTCCTGGGTCTATCTGAGGTTGTCCAGTATATCTAAGCCCTTTCAGAATCTAAACTACTTTATGGTCTTATAAATTCCACTTGTGTATTTTTTAAAAGATTTTATTTATTTATTTTCAGAGAAAGGGAGTAAGAGAGGGAGAGAAATGCCAGTGTGTAGTTGCCTCTCACACCCCCCCAGTTGGGGATCTGGCCCACAACCCAGGCACGTGCCCTAGACTGGGAATCAAACCAGCGAGCCTTTGGTTTTTAGGCTGGCGCTCAATCCGCCGAGCCACACCAGCCAGGGCCATTTAGGTGTTGTTTTTCTGCACTATTTATTTGTAATAAGACAGGATTTTTTAACACTACACACACACATACATATACCTGTACACATACACACACACATATCTGTACAATTACTCCTGGAAATTTTAAATTTTTTTATTTTAGCATTAATTTAAAAAAACAGGTCGATTATCTTATAAATCACATAAGATCACTGTGTATCTAAGTTCAGACATTAAATAATCAGGTATATCCTCAATGTGAGCACTGGATGGTGCTGTTTTCTTATTTTAGAAAGTTGAGAAAATAGTGCTTCTATTGTATTAAAACAACCTGAGTATTAGTAAAATAGAATTACATGATAATATTTGTTACTGATCTATATGGTAAGTATGTAAGAGTCTAGGAGTTTAATTTTAAAGCAGATTTAATAGTTACTATTGTTAATTATTTTAAAGTGTTAACTGTTTACCATTACAGGGTCATTAATTACTTATCTTAGGAAATGAGTGTTTTCTGTAGAAGAAAATTTGTTCAGGAGATTATATCATGGAACTTTGGATTAGAAGCCATATTAGGATGTTTTTTAATGTCTCTAAAGTTTCTATTATTTCTAAAGTGTTGGGATTTCATGTTACCAAGTGCTTATTATTTATAGAATGTTGGGATCTAATGTGAACTCTAAAGTCCTCATTATTTCTATAATGTTAGGATCTAACATTACCTACTATTTCTGTGCATATCAGTGGCATTAGGAAGAATATAACTAAACAGGTAAGAGCAAAGTATTCAGTGTAAGTACTAAGTGGAAATTAAATGAGAGCTAGTAAAACTTAGCAGATAAATTATTTTATAATACAAAATAATTTTTTAAATATTTTAAAGTAATTTTTTAGGATAAAACTTTGAATTTATTTATAAAGTTTGCATTATATTTTACCTTCTTTTACTTGTTTTATAGGTGTTTGTGAGTTGCAATTTCTGTGGCAAGTCCATCTCTTACAGTTGCTCAACTGTGCCTCACCAGGGCAGGGGCTTCAGTCAGTATGGTGTCAGCGGCTCGCCCACCAAGTCCAAAGTCACCAGTTGCCCTGGCTGTCGGAAACCCCTTCCTCGATGTGCACTCTGTCTCATTAATATGGGGACGCCTGTTTCTAGCTGCCCTGGTACGATAATTCTGCAGTCCCTCGTTTGGGGCGAAAGTTGTTCCTCCAAAATTGATTTAATATTGTAAATAAAAGACATACTAGCTTGATTTTATATTATTTCTAAGAGCAAGCCACTTGCTGGCTTTTATTCCCTATAGTTTATAAAATCTGTACATTGAAAGAAAAATCATTATCCATGATATCTCAGGTAATCTCACAAATTCCAGCCAATTTGAAGTAAGAGGAGCTTAAACAGTATGTAATCTCATAATATTATTTTCTTAAGGGGAATTCCCTCAAATATTATATTTAATTGTCATGTGCCATCATCTATTAAAACTACTTTGTATGCATAAAGAGTTTTTGTCTCAAAGCTCTTTCACATTTCCTTTTATTTCATCTTCAAAATCTACCTCTGAAATATGTAGAAGAGAGATTCCTTTACTTGTAACGTTTGATGCTGTTTCTGCTATATTTGTTAGTTACCTAGCAAATATTTCATATGTATATGTATGTATGTATGCATATAGTTAGGAATATTAGGATTATTATTTATTGCTTATAGTAAGTATATATAAAAATTGAGAAAAATAGATAATTGAAAATAATGTATCCAGTGTCTGGAAATATTCCAGCTATTTATGTAACTTGATTATGATACTATGGCAAAAATTTTAGTTAAAAACATTTGAATATTTGGCACAGTGGTATAATGAATAATGAATAAAGAACTGGACATGGTGTCAGATTGAGTCTTAGTAAGAGCTCTGAAATTCAGTCTGGCATTGAGAGTTACTTTAACCCTTTTTCATATAAAGTGTTGAACTGGGAGATTCTCCCTAGTTACAAAATTTTGTAATTCTGCAGCTGATTCATACAAGTAGTCTGCTTTATTATTACATTAACATCTGTGAAAGATTTGCTTGTTTCACTGGCTGAGTAATTAATTTTTAAACTAGATGCCTTTTTAAAAACAAATATGTAAGGCAATGTGTAATGTTTTTGGATGCACTTGTTAGTTTCAATTTAACTTTTAGTCAAGGAATTTCATTTTACATGTTGCATGTTGATCAGTTTTTATAGCCCTGGTACTAATAAATAGAAAATAAATTTTTTGTGAGCTATAAGAAGATAAGAGTGTATATATTATGTGCTGTGATACCCATCATTGAGTCTTCTACCCTGCTTAAGCCAACATTGTCTGTACTAGTGGCTTTGATCATTTCTCCCGGCCTCATCTCACCCCTTTCCCCCTCCCCAGAGGAAACCACCATTCTCAATTATGTTTTATTCAGTGTCTAGTATGTCTGTGTGGTTTCATCACATGTGTAGCTTTGTCTGTGTTTTAAATTCTATTCAGTGAGTTATGTGGAATATGTCCTTTAGTTTGCCTTTTTTGCTCAGCATTAGGGTTTGGTTTTTTGTTTGTTTTTGTTTTTGTCTTTTTAGTGTCAAATATGCTGATGAATGTAGCTGTAGTTTGTTTATTTTTATTATTATTTGAAATTTCATTCATGACTATAGCACAGTTTTTCTATTCTTCAATTTTTAGACAGTTTTGTTGTTTCCAGATTTTTACTACTATGAACATTCCTGCATATTTGTCCTTTTAGCATGTACAGAGTTCCTCTGATGTGTTTACCTATGAGTAGAATTGCTAAATCATACTGTTTGCTAATGTTTTACTTAGCATTTTTATGTTCTGTTCAGGAGAGAGATTGGCCTATAACCTTCCTTTCTTAAATTATTTTTGCCTGGTTTTGTTAGTAAAGTTATACCAATTTCATAAAAAGCTTTGGGAAATCTTCGTTCTTTCCCTATTCTCTGAAAGAATGTGTATAGATAAAAATTACCTGTTATTTTAATGTGTAGTAGAACTCACTGCAAACTGGGCTTGGTATTTTCTTTGTGGGAAGATTTTAAACTACTGGTTATTTCTCTAAAATTGTTCATTCAGATTGCTTCTTAGTGGGATTGATACTTTATATTTTTCAAGGTTTTATTAGCTATTAAAAATGTAAGGGGACTCCTATCAGTTGGTATCTTTTCAATCTAACTAGATCATAGCATTAAAGTTACTACTTCAGTATGATATATGAATTGTACTTTGACAGAGTTTTAGAACTACCTTTTAAGAAACTTGGGATAAAATATTGTGATACAGTTATTGAAGATCATTTTCTTTAACCCACAGGAGGATCCAAATCAGATGAAAAAGTAGACTTGAGCAAGGACAAAAAATTAGCTCAGTTTAACAACTGGTTTACATGGTGTCACAATTGCAGGCACGGTGGGCATGCTGGACATATGCTTAGCTGGTTCAGGTAATCAACACGTTCCTTCTTGAGCAGGCTTGGAGTTGGAGGAGGGAAAGCAGATGACCTTTTAAATACTTTGGGTTTATATAGCGAAAGGGTGAATTTCTTCTTTCCTGTCACCTGAGTTAACAAAGGTGGTGACATTTCTGTTGTTAGATTAGAAATCCTGTGTAATTTTAAACCATAAAATTAAACTTATATAAGGAATAGTTTAAATGATGTATGGGCTAAGTGTTTGTATGGCATTATTTAACTTTATTTGAGGAGAGGATATGATTATAATTTTTCATGACCAACAGAATCCTGTCATATGTAATGTCCAATGTCTTTTAAGTCAGCTGGTTATGCAGTGAGGAAGCACCGCATGCAATGGAGACTCAAGACCACGTTTACCCTTTAGGCTGAGCGGTGCCGGTGGCCTGCACTCCTTGCTGTGGCTTTTACTCCCAGTTTGTCACACTGACTTTAATTTAAACCAAGCACATCCCTTTACCCTCGTAACTGTAAATGAGGTGTATTGTTATATATTTATAAAGTAAAGCTATTAATTTTTCAGTAACTTTCTCCTCGTGCTCAGCTTGGCAGTCATTTCTAATTTAATGCTTTTAATGTTCTTTGTCTTTGGGTTTTAATTGCTGTATTTTTCCAAATGCCATTTTGAAACATTGCATTATAGATACAGAAACATATGTATATACATACGTATGTGTATATATGTATAATTTAGATTTTTAACTGTTCCTTGGCCTGTTTTTTAGGGACCACGCAGAGTGTCCCGTGTCTGCATGCACGTGTAAATGCATGCAGTTGGATACGACTGGGAATTTGGTGCCTGCGGAGACCGTCCAGCCGTAAACGTTATCACCTAAACAGAAGCCTTCAAGTGTGGAGCTTCCTAATGGATGTCCTGCATCGCTCAAAAACATACCTCACAACAAGTCACTCATGACTTTCCTGTAATGGGAAAATAAATCATTCTATCACATCAGCAGTTTGATGTTCAAGTGATTTTGATGTGCTTCAGAGACGAGTGCTGCCGCGATGGGTGTCAGAGTGCGGGATGGATGGTGTTGGCTAGGTTGAAAAAGTTCATTTTGGAAGAACTTTCTAGGGTTTTGGTGAAATTATAAACACCGTGCCAGTAGAGTTTCTGGAATAGCCAAGAACAGACCTCAAACCTGTATCTTCCAAACTCAAATTGGTATCTATCAGTAAAATCAGTACACTTGGAAAATAGAATAAAATGACCAATTCAGAGACTCAAATGACAGTTAAACCTCTTCCTTGCTTAGATTCCTTTGAGATAAAATTAAAACTATTGATTTTTACTTCTAGAACCAGAGAGCGTCTACCCCACACTGGAGAATAAATTTTGTCAAGGTATGGCTGATATACGTGTATATTTTAAGGAGTCTTTTTCCTCATACCCTTTAATTTAAGGTAAAAAATCTTTTGGCACAGATTATTATCTTCCTAGAAAAGCCAAAATTAAGAAGGTATCTCACAAACTTTCTCTTATGAAGAGAAAAATAAGCATCATTTTAGGGTAACATACTATAACAAATTTTTCAGTTTCAGTCTTTTACTTTTCAGTATCCTGATTTGTCTTGAAAGATTTGTTTCCCTGTTAATTCATCATCTTATTTTATGCTCATCATCCGGGAGCATTTCAATAAACACAGAATCTGTGCAAGATATTATATGACCAGACATTCAGCAATCTACACCAGTGTGGCTTACTGTCACGTGGCCTCCTGTTTAGGAATGCCCTGTTTTTTCCCTAAGATAAACTGGGAGATGTTGAGGGACAACGGGTCACTTTGGAGACAGTTCTACTTTATATGGAAGTTTCTAAAGGTAAGCATACTTGGACCAATTCAGGGCTTTTATTTTAAGTTTTTATTTTATTTTTTTCTTTTTACAGCTGTAGATAATTGGAAGAGAAATATCAAGGATTTATAGCATGCTTCTCTGTCATCTGAATGTTCAGAGGACTGAACTGATTTTCACAGTTGAAGTTGTGTTCATAGATTTTTTTAAAGTACCGTAAAAATTAATTATTTTTTGGATTTTGGAGAAATATCTTGAATTTCAAGAGCTTTCACGTTAACATTTTTACCAGATGAAACTAGGTTCTAAGGAACTGATAGTTTGAGGTGTGTCCTAAATATTGAACAAAAGTGGATTATAACATTTTTACTTTGAGATATGGTACAAAAAACGCTTTTCTAGGAATATATTGCACATTTGCTTAAATGTCTCAGCTAGATGATGACAAGAATTAGCAGTAGTTACATATTTAAAAAAATTTTTTTTTACTAAGATTGCCATGAAGGGGACATTTTCCAGTCATCTTTTAAGTAAATCTTCCAGATTTCATTTTACTAAAACAGAACCTTTACCTTTAAAATTGCTTCACTTGAAATGTCATTTCAAATTTATTGTGCCCTAAATATGAAAAGTCACCTTTAAATAGTAATGTCAAACTGTCTTACACATTTTCAACTTGTCCTGACTCAAGTAAGGTGAAATTATTGAATGTATATTTAGAAGAGGGTTATATTTAAGATACTTATAATTTTTGGAAATACAGTATAATAAGACAGTCTAGTGTATAAATAATCTGCTTGTTTGTAATAAGGGTGCTGTTTTTAAGATGAATTGTTTATACCTATGTGTCAGGTTCCTAATGTTTTCTGTGAAGCCCAGATATTCATAGAAGGTGTCAACTGTTAGGCTTGTTTTGCATTTCAGTGTATGTGGACCATGAAAATGGATTAAAATAATTATTTTGTTTTTATTACTAGGTCACTGATATTTGGGTTTGTAAAATCAACAAGATATTTTACCTAAACATGTTCAATAGAAGTGTTCAATAAAAATGTTTTCATTATTTTTTAAAAATTCAATAAATGTGGGTTGAAGTCAATTTGTCTAATCTAGAAATTATCTGTGACTCCTCCAAAATAATTCAGTAAAGTAATAGTATTACTTAATTTGATGACAAATTTGGTACTTAATCTTAGAAGTAATTTTTTCTAGGGTCTTGTTTTTTTCAGTTTTAATATGCTTTCCATCGTGGTTATTCATTAAAAATCATCTATTCAAAAAGTAGCTTCGCATTGTTAGTGCTACACATGGTAAGTACTATAGTTAGAGAGAATATAGTTCTACATTTAATTGCATGGCTCAATTTAATTTCAGTCAGTCATTTGACTACAAATATTTAAAGTATGGGCTTTGAAATTTAAATGATAATCCTACCCTTACTGTTGTGGCCAAGTGACTTAACTGTTTTAATATTCAACTTCCACATATGTTCAAAGCAAGGTACAGAAATACCTACTTTGTAGGGTGATTGATGGGACTGATAGGTGATGGAATAAACAGGAAGTGCTCCACAAAAGGTGTTTAACAGTCATCATTAGCTTAATCTTTATTGGCTTCTTGTGTGTCACTACTTTTATACTGAATATAGTATAACTTAAATGAAGGTTCTGCATTTGTCTCGAGTGGAAATTTCTCCAGAGCTTGTTTTCCCAAAGCTGGATAAATTACAGCTTTTTTTTTTTTGAGATAGGAATTAGCTACTTTTGTTTATCCTATATTTAGAATATTACTTTTTACTGTATGAAATCTTCTGAACAAGTACCTAGAAGTTTAATATAAGTGTGAACTCAGGAAAGAAAATTAAAATTTGGTAAATCTGGACAGTTGACCAGTAGCTCTTTAAAACGTGAGGTTTTCATATCTGTATTCAATTATTAAATCCTGTTCTTCATGGGAGAAAGCATCCACTATTATCTCTGTAATCTTTCCTCTTCTGCCATTCCGTTACACCTGGTGTTCATCCAAGTTAACACGTTGGGGTGGTAGTGGTAACAAAAAAGGAAGTTTACTGTGAGATTTGTTTCTCTTGGGATAGCTGTAGCCAAAGCTAGTGGGCACTAGTTAGTTTTGCATGTCTAATACCTGCTCAGAAAAAAGCTCAGAGAGCTGGGAGAGATGTCACGTTTTAGTTCAGCATCCTCATACTCACTTTGAGTGCTGGTGACGCACATGGCCATGGCAGAGGTGGGGCCTGCTGGACGGCTAGCTGCCCTTCCACCTAGTACTAAGTCCTTCCACTGCATCATCTACTTATTTTCCCTCCCACCTCTAAATTATGTTACTTTGCTAATTATGAAAAGCAGCACTTTACAAAAATATTTTTATAAAATACAAATTATTTCAGAGTAAAGAAAGGAAAGCTTTCCAAATGTTTATTAGAGCTAATATAACTCACATGTCTAATTACCAATAGATAACCAAAACAACTGGTTTCATTTAGGGATATACATGATAAATTCATAAGTAAAATGAATGTCAAATCAAAGTATATTAATGAGAATCATAGTTAGTGCTGGTACTTAGGTGCCAGGTACCAGGCACATTCTCTTATCCTCACAGTAGCCCTACGAGCAGGTGTCCAGGACATATCTGTACCTGTGTCCATTCTGTACCTGAGGCAGTTAGGGTATAGAGACATCAAGTCAGTGGCCCTAGAATACACAGCCAGTAAATAGCAGAGCCAAGATTCAGATTCCAGCAGTCTCATGGGTTCCCAACCTGTATTTTTAATTACTATTTTGTACTTGTGTGTAGTACTCTGTGGGCTGTGTATGGGATAATCCATCATGACAAAGAGTTTATTTAGTATTGATATGTCAAAAGGGGAAAACCATGTCAGTATGGATGTAAAAGACACTTGATAAAATTTTTGAAATTGACTCAATTTGTTTTTGAGATTTAGTTATCATGCAAGGGAAATGTTTTTTCTTCATTGTTTCCCTTCATATTTTACTGTCTAAAACAGCTGGCATCATAAGTAATGGACACATTCTAGAACCCTTCCCACTATAGACATGAGTGCAACAAGGGTCCTGTTATCTCAGATTCTCCATATAAGCAATTCAAAAGAGCAAAGTGAAGTGAGGCACACCCTTGCTGCTTTTTCAAGTCCTTAAGGCTCTTGGTTTGTATGGCAAAAGTACCATAAACATTTAAAAGGCAAGCAAATCCTGGCCGGTTAGCTCAGTTGGTTAGAGCGTGGTGCTAATAAAAGTCAAGCAAACTGATAAGCAAATGCATAACATTTAATACCCTGAATTCACAAAGAGCATTCGTAAAAACACAAAGAAAATACAGCCAATAGTTAATGCTGATTAAGGACTTGTACAGGCAAAATAAATTAAAATGGCCAATAAATATAAATAAATATTAAATCAGAACAAAGTAATGATTAAAACAATAGGATACTGTTCACCTGGTTGTTTGGGGCGAAAAAGAAAAGGTTGAGAAAAAAACTCAGGGACACAGACTACTGTGGTGGTTGCCAGACGGGGAGGGGTCGTGGTGCATGGAGGAGGGTACAGTGGGGGCCAGTGCTGGTGGATGGAGACTTGACTTAGGGTGATGAATACACAGTGTACGGATGATGTTTTGTGGAATTGCGTGCCTAAAATTTGTATACTCCAGTTAACCAGTGTTACCCCAATAAATTCAATAAAAAGAAAACAAATGTTTTTATTCCTGGCAATAAGATGCTGTTTTCTGACAGCTAGTAACAGCACCTTCCTTTCCTTTCACATTTTTGGGGATCATTCTCACTTACCTTATGCCCTTACCCTAGAAACACTCTCTCCATTTCAAGAAAGGAATCACAATGTGGGAAAGCAGCAGCCACATGAGTTCATGACAGTGTATTAGCACAGTAAACTTCCAGGCCCAGTAGCCTTCTCATCAGCGCTTTTTTAGCCAAGTCAAGACACTTCACCAGGGTGGGCTGCTGTCTAAGCTGATTAAATTAAACGAGCTGGTAGTGCACCCCCAAAAAACTTAACCATCATATCATGTTAATTTCACCAAACAACTGAGAAAAAAGGAATAATACACATTTTCATGGATGTAGGAAAGGAACACTGTCGGATAATGGCTTGTCAGAGTTTAGTATGAGTACAGGTGTTCATTATTATCAGTATAAAAAGCTGCAGGATCTTACCCTTTGAGCTAGTATACTAGGGATATTTTTGGAGGGATTGATTGGATAAGTCCACATACCAAGATGTATGGTTCTATGAAGTGGTTGATCACAGTATTTATAGAAGAAAACCTGGAAACTTTAATGTCCAGTAATAAGAATAAAGAAATTGTTGAATACCTACAATGAGATACTATTTAATTAGCATGCCGGTGTTTGTATTGAGAAAGGAGGATTTGTGATAGCGTGATGAAGGGAAGGCAAGTCATAAGATGATGTGTACAGTAGATAAATGTAGTTGCATGGATCACTATTGAAGAATGTTTACAAAAATGTTAACAGTGGTCATCAACTGGGATTTTAAGTGACATTTGTCTTATTATCTGTACCTCCCAGATTTTCTACAATAATGATGAATGTTCATGTTATGTACACATTAAGTTACCCAGGAATTTGTGTCAGTCAGATATGGGGTACTACTGTACGTGAGGTGAAGAAACAATACAAGTTATGAAAATTAGTATTGAAGTCTAATTGTTTGAAAAGCACGTTTCTGATTTTATATTCTATAGTAATATTGGGTTGGGCAAAGAGCCTCTTTATTTTTTCTGTAAAATAAAAGGCATTTTTCATTTTCACTACCAACTTTATTGATTTGGGTATTTTGAGTATGTCGACTATCTCCCATTATTGGATTCTGGTGGGTAGAGGCCAGGAGTGCTGCTAAACATTTTCCAATGCATGAGACAGCCCCACGACAAATAATTATTTGGCCAAAATGTCAATAGTACCAAGAAACTTCACAAACCACTTTTGACACATTCGATCTCTGCACAAAACTTTTATTGTGTTTCAGTTGCGTTTTTACCTTTCTTGAAATAATAAAGCATAATGGGCTGAAAATGTTGCATATTTTCTTCTGTCTTCAGTATTAAAATAGCTGTACAAAAATTCACCAATTTTGATAAGTGTTTTTTAAAAGGCGCACTGATATGACAGCTGTCACAATTCTAACAACATTTCAAATGAAGTTAGAGAAAACAAAGCACTACTAGAGCCATTGTATGGAAAAAAACTGAGCTTTTTGGTCAATGCAATATATAGGAATAACAAAAAGATATGGTCCTCTCTTAATATCTCTTTTCACATTTGGAAATAGTGCATTTTGTTCTCCATTAAGCATGTTAGGTAAAAGCACATTTGCCTAACATGCTTATAAGAATGCTGGTTTCCCTGAGGTCAGTGTTTTATAATTAATGACTATTTCAATTTTCTCTCTTCCAGATCTTCCTCGTGAGATTTTCTGACTCCATTTTAGCTCTGGGCCTGTGGCAGGAAACTGGTTCTCTGTGTTTAGGATTTCCTTGATTATCCAATCCAATCTAGAGTGTATTTATTTCCAATGATTTAACAAGTTACTTATGTTTAAGCTGTGAATTCTGAACATGCATGCAGGTCCATGCTTCTAGCAAACTCCCATTTGCATGACTACACTCTATTAAAGCTTCGGATTTCGAAAGATTATGGCATCATAGCTGCCCTGGAGGAGACATGGGTCTAATGGAAGAGGTAGACACAAGCATAGTTTTTAGCAGACTCAAGGCCATGAAGATTAATATCTATAATTACTGGAAGAATATCATTTTAGCATCTTGTCTCTGCAAGCCAAAAAGAAGTTTTTAATTTAATTTTCTAATTTTGGGCTTCCAAAAATTATTTTTAAACTAGAAGTAATTTGAGGAAGTAGCTGTCCATACACTTTTCAGAAATGCAAGTTTCTTGCTGACCTATTAATAGTACAGTGTTTGGAAATATTCTGTTAAAAAAGATAACTTCAGGATTAAAGGATATTTTATGTAATGTCAGAAATAGCAATAATAGTAATCCAGTGATATAATCTCATG